AATTCAGTCTAGAGAATGTACCAGACAGCACCTAAGAGCGGCAAAAATCTAAATGTTCTAGGGGGAGGCCCCCCAAACCCTTCGTGCGTCATTTCGTCCGTGCGCATTTTTCAGGGCAATCTCTATTGGGCTCAGGGCCATCTGTAAATTAGCTTAGATAGGGCCATCTAAGCAGTGTCATGCACTGCTATCGAAGTGACATCACTATGTAACACTCATGCTCCAATCAGAGCAGGCTGGGCTCTGGTTTCCGACAGAGGGTGAAAATAAGTGTTGCAGTATGAGAAAAATAAAGACCTGTTTGAACTTTAAAGCATATCAACATGTCACAGTCAAGGCACAAAATACAAGTGTGAAACCTGGAAAATTATCATAATAGGACTCCTTTTAAATTTGTAGATAGCGCACTTATAACAAACTATCAACCACCTTTAGATATTTTGCGCCCACTCAAAGGATGTTTACATTTAAAAGTCATCATTTCACACATTCATACAAAGCAGAGGCTGCCATACAAGGTGCCACCTGCTCAGGGAGACTTACATTCACACACATTCCCATAAGTGTCGTGCCTAATGGCTATTTGGCATGTTTACTGCACGGGTCGGCAATCTCATGGGCCACAGCTGCATTTGTTTTGTCAGAAGTGTGAAGGCCAATTTCTACAAAAGTGTAAGAACAACACTCTTTCTTCCTTTTACGAATTAGATTCTCCTCGGTTAGAGTTTGATCAGGCAAAGGCACAGAGAAATAAAATGCCTCGACAGTGACTGGAGAGGATCTGGTTCTCAGTAGTGGTAATGAGACACAACTGTTCAACACCTACAGTTGTATAATTAGGATCTGCTTCATGACATGTTAGTCAAAATATATTAGAAGTATTAATAAGACTATCAAACCACCACTTCGTTTGTATACTACTACTTAGGATAACCATGTACGCCAATAATTGAAAAATATATGATGGATTGGATTATATACACATATCATATAAGTTAGCCTTGAATTAATACAGAATAAGATGTATTTTAGTATATTTCTTAAGGTATCAAATATGATAGTTCTTTGTAAAAGATGAACACAACCAACCAGTGAATATTGGTGGTTTTTGGAGAAATTCTGCAGGAACTGTACTCATAACCAATAAATCACAAAAATCACAAAAATTGATTATCTGATAAGTACACATTTTGCAAAGAACAATTGACCATGCACAGTTAGAAAAAAAAGGAGGAAGTCATGTTATTAAAGAGCGACAAGGAAGTGGATGGATGGATAGTTAACAAAGATTTTTCCCAAACCTTCACCCTGTGGTTATCACAGTAACCATGACAACCAAGGTTCCTTATCCTTAACGAAGACCCTCGGATCATAAAACTCACCAGAGCATGGACATGTGTGTTTTGTCATTAATATATTTGTATAGGGCTTTACATCAAAACAACTGTTACTCAGGTTTTGCTCTAGTCAAACCAGGTCACTCTTTATGGAGAGGAAGGGTCAACTCAATAAGTGTCACAACCAATAAATAACATTTGTATTTTGCAAGCCCCCATTAAGTGGCAGTAGACACAAACATAAATGGGGTGTGCATGGATCAGTTGATAGTGCGTGGGCTGGAACGCAGATGTGTAGGCAGGGATTGATGGGGATAAAGCCGAGCAACAAGTATATCTTGTATAAATGTCTTCCCTAATTATGCCTGTATGAGACCTAAATGATCGACTACTGATTGGCCCTAATTTATGCAGCCGGGATCATTAAATTCCCAATGAGCCCTGGCACATTTTGTGCCTTGGTGAAAAATAAAATACAGACATATCGGTGCTGTTTCTCAAATTTCTCAAAGCAAAATAAAAAAAAAATATTCTTACAGTACATCATGAAATCAGCCTCTGGCATCCAACCAAGCTGAAAGAAAAGAGAAACCAAGAACAAATAAATGACAAATATTTTATTTGACATGACTTCCCTGAGAAGAAGCCATTCAACCACATGGTACATGTTTCAGCCTGTCGTTGTAAGGTGTTCCTATTGTAACGTCTTTACTCGCGAAAAAGAAAAGAGAACTGGGACCCATTTTTGCAAGATTTGTTTAATAATTCAGCACAGCCTTAAACCAATTCACTTCAAGTGCCCAGATGGTGTTTTTATTAGGCAAATGGTCGATACTTGAGAGAAATAATTTACTTGGGTTCCGAAACTGGCAGGGTACCTTCGAGCCACGCAGAGTTTACTGAGCAGAGAATGAGTCAGGGCGTTCTGGGTACTAATTCAGAAAAACAATAATTTTAATGAATATCAGGGAGATCAGGGGGCATTCGGCCACGGTCACTTTCTGCACTGTACTGTTGTTACAAGTTATGTTTAAAGGCCTTATCTACGCTTCAGGAAAATACAGCAGCACTGACGATGGAGTATTTTTCTCTCGAGGACGTGCCACTTTCAGCACACTCAGACAATTTCTCACTGGAACTCTTTTCCTTTATGACCCTCCTTCCTGTCAGCAGCTGTTCCCATGTGAGGAAATGACAGGGACACATACACAGATGTGACTATATTTATTAGTAATTGTACAAGGCGTGAGTTCTGAATCCTTGTCATGCAGTTTCTCTGCCAAGTTTTATTCCAGGGTATTATAAAAGCAGAATGTCCGGAAGGGAGATGAGTGAAGAAGAGTGTATTTCTGATATCTCTGACCTTAAACAATTCTGCCCTCTGGATAGAAACAACCACTGAGCTGTAGTCAGCTAGATTAGGAGTACTTCCTAATGATCAGCCTCAAGCTGTTTATTTTGAAGATACCGTTTAAAGCAAGAGTCTCCAACCTTTCTTCATCTGAGAGCTACTCTGAAAAAATGAATGTGGCTACAAGAGCTTACATTTATTCACATAGCAGTAGCACTCATCAGTTGAATTAAGCTATACTTTTTTACACGTGTGAAATTGCAATACCTAAAGCTTATCAAAAATCTTAACTTCACATTAAGGTCCAAGAAAATGAAAATGTCTCACATATTATTATGGCCCACATAGTGAGTACATCACTGACAATTCACATAAATGTCCTTAATCACCACCTTACAAGCATTTCACTCTTTTTTTACAGTTAGTGAGATGAATGGCGCTGCATGGAGTCTACCATACAGGTGTATGCTGGAGTGTACCCACTTAGGTTCACTCTAATAGAGTCATTTAAATGTGAATCAGTCATTCTTGTTCTGTATATAGATTTCATGACATTCATGTCAGAAAAAGCTGCTTCACAAAGGTTTGTAGAACAGAACCAAATAAAGCATGTTCAGTGCTGCTTGGTGAATGTTCTTATAGTTTTCTGGGTCTACAAGGCTCCAGAAATATTGTGAGTTTTGCTGAGACTTAAGCTGAACATTATTTTGGAGATTTATAACCTCCATCTCCACAGGATTGACACTGAACAGTTGTTCAGTCATCTTTTTCTTCTTCTTCTTCGTCTTGACATTAAATTATAAACCATAATAAATCAATTATAGCCTCCCTATCTGTGTGTGAAAGTGTTCCATCCTCAAAAACAAAAAAGTAATGCTTCTGCAGTCTAGCTGCAGCTTCTAGCTACGGTGTTATGTTAATATATCTTGAATGTGGCATCACACACATGAAATAAAAAAACGTTATTGTCCGGCCGCGGCCGAAAAATGAAGAAGCAACTTTACTACGATATAATCGATAATCGAGCGGCGAGCTACTGAAAATCTGCCCGCGAGCTACCGACGTGTTAGAGAGCCCTGAGGGAAGGAACAGAAAGAGAAAAAAAATCCTTTGGAGGAGTTTTTTGTATAATATTGTTAGAGTTGGTGTAGAAAATAAAGCAGTCAAATAAATGGCAGTGACAGGCAGATATGGGCTGTGGTGATTGACACTGCAAGTCATATTCCTTTTGATGGGATTAAATTGTCATGACGTCTCAGATATGGAAATTGAGCCGCTAATCTGAGGTTTTGGAAATGTCAACATTATTAAATTGTGAGAGCAGTAAAGGCACAATTCACATTTTTGCCATGGCTTGAATTGAGACAACTGTACGGCAACTGCAAATTAATGAGTCTACTTTAAATTGGGTTTAACGCGTTTTAATAATATGTATTGAATTGTATTTTTCAAAAAAATAAATATAAAAAGTCTAAAAAGGAGCAACTCTTTAATACGGGAAAGGGATTTATTTTTAATCCGACCAAAAGTGATATTTTTTTGTTAAAATCAGAATTACATTTATTGGTCAGATCTCAGATTTCTTTTTTTCTATGTGGCTCTTATCCTCTTCTGTACATCAAGGCATTAAGATAACAGAAAATGTGTCCAAAATAACAATACAACGGAATAATTCATCAACATAAACTATTAACACATTTTCTATAATAAAGATAACAGGCTGAATATTGGACCAAATGCTTTGGCCTCATTTACATATTCCCTGATCATCTCACAGGCTACTGAATCGTTGGGCTTTTATTTCATTTGAAGCTTACATTCGTATCCCGCAGTGGTCTATCATAGCAGCTTTAATAAAAAGCTCATAACTCTTCAGCTCTTGGCGTACTCATAGCGCGGATCAGGGGCAGAGGGGGTAACTGGGGTGTGAAATAGACTCAGCTGATGGACACATGAAAAGCCTCGGATGGTTGCTTGTCACTCACACTGCCGTACCCGCCTTTTGCTCCATCTGAAGTGAAAATATGAATCTAAATTGCCTGGAAAATGCATTTTTCTCCCCAATAGATCCCAGAAGTGCACGCGGCATCATCACAGGGACTCAATTGAGGCGAAGATAGCGCGCGCTGCCCTGCCTGCTGCTCCTCCGCGCGGTAGGAGGGGTCGTAGTATTATATTATTATTATTATTATTAGTAGCCATTATTCGCGCGTTTATTCGCGCGTAGTGACGTAGTGACGCTGTCATCCAATGGGCACCGGCTTCTTCCGGACGGAGCGCAGCACCTCAGTCTCAACGGCACTTTTGCGCCAGACAAGTATAGGGACGGTCGTTCACTCAGCACCCGAGAAGAAGAAACAGGGATCCGGGAATTTACTGAGCTGTATTTGGCGGAGAAGGCTCATCTTTTCCTCCTTTTTTCCGTACACGAGATTTTGCAAAGATGAACGTTGGCTGCGTCATCCTGGCGTGCACCTTACTTGTGGGCGCATCCTCGGTAAGATGAGTTAATTTCTCCACACGTCTTGTCGGCTAACGTACAGTGGAAGTGCTGCACTGCTGTAGAGATTACTTTGTGCTCTGCCTCTCGCTGCCTGAGCCCTGCAGAAAGTGTCTGAGAGACAGGCTCACTTTCCCCCGCAGCGTTGCGCTAAAGGCAGCGTGATGAGTGTAATAGAGCTTCACTCGGCGACGTTTAAGGTCAAGAATAGGTTTTGTCATAAGTGTTTTGGGGAGGTGAAAAAAGTCAGACAACTCTGTTTCCTTAGCCTCCCCATCCTCTCTGCTAAATGAACTGCAGTGCATTATTGCAGAGGACAGTGCTTTGTGGAGGGGCTTCCTTCTCCTTCTGTTGGCTGCGATCAACTTCGTTTAAGCACTGTCATCCCTCATTTTCTACATCTCTTGGATAAATGGCTTAGTTGACGACTTGGTAATTTGGGTTGGAGCTCATTTTAAAGTACCACATGTTTTCAACTTGAATAATGCTTTAACGCCAGCTTTATTTCCCAAATGTATGCTGTAGTAGTTTGTTGTGGATAGAGAAATATTGGGCTGCCTGTATAATGCAACAAAGTGCACCATATTTCCTTCTTTTTCAAAAAACCTAAATTGATGTGATGAATGAGATGTATCACTGTAAGTGCATTCTGTTGTGAATGAAATGCCTGCTGAAAGAAACTGTGCCTGCAAATATGCTTATAAATCAACAGTGTAATTCAATGCATTAGGTCTCTGTCACACATGCACACACTCTCTCTGCTTCCTCTCTCCCACCCCAGCCAGCATGCAGTATGGATGTGTTAGGATTACACATTTCCTGCTAGCAACAGTCATCATCTGTATGCTCATTGACATCATTATCACGACTTGTGTCATCAACACATGATGATCATGAGGGTAACATCTGTAACAGGGATAATGACGCTTCTTATAGCACAAGTCCAAGTCCAAGTGTCCAAGTGTGGTGCAAATCCCTCCAGAGAGACTGTGAGGTTCAATATGAGTCTGAGGCTGCCAGATCAGCTTGTGGGTCACAGTGGCTGCGAGTCAATTTGCAGATGCCTAACAGCCCCTCTCGTTTTATCCCTCAGGGGAGTAAGGCAGGCCCGCCCCTCAAACCCCCGTGCAGACCAGGCTTCTCCCAGAACTTCTACATAGTGATAGTCCCCAGAGACGCTCTGCACGGCCAGAGCATCCTCAAAGGTAAGCGGCATCGCACTTATCCAACTGCTGATATTTTCCTACCTCTGCCCAGATGTGTCACCAAACCTCATAGTGTGATTGAGTGAGGAAGTGTGTGTCTATGCGTGTGTGGGGGCCGGGACATATATTATGGCGCGGGGCTCTCCATCACTCCTTAAGAACACTCTGGTTGTGGCTGTGCAACATAAGCAGCTCATCTTGAGCTCAGACTTACATATGTTCCAGCAGTTGTGATGCAGCTCGCGTTGAAAAACTCCTGGGATGTTATTAAACGACAGCAGGCGCGTAATGCATTCTGTTGCGGAGTCATCATTGGATACGGATTTTCATTGATGAATGAACACCTAAATTACACTTAAAAAACATTTCCTCCTTTTTGGATTGACTGAGCAGACAAAGCCGATTTAAACGGCCTGTTTTTCCCTCAGCACGTTTTCAGCTGGAAGCCCACAACTTTTATTTTACTCCCCACTGTTCGGTGTATTACATGTTTCAGCTCTTTTATTCTTTCAGTTTTTGAGTCAAGAAGTCAATTATGTTTTCGTTCGCTCCATTTCTTTGCAGAAAAGGCAGTGTACCGAGTCTACTGTGAGGTTCATTTCCTGCCATTTGGAGATATGTTTTGTTTTTCTCAGTGTGTCTTTTATTTGTTAGTGAATACTTGCCATAAGGGAAACAAAAACGTTGACATCCTAGGTTCCCAAGCCACATTATTGACAGATGAGCAAAACCTTTATGTTACCTGGATGTGCTTCTACAACATTATATCCAACCCTCTATAATAAGGAAGTGACCCCCAGGATCAGGAGTACAACTTAGTTTTTGTCATATGGGCACAATATAAGTTGGTTCCTATTTCTTTCCTCCAACCTATTCTACGCCTTGTACAATAAGCCCAGCTCTCCCCTGGCGGTTTGCTTTTATAGCCAAATATTGTCCATTAATACGTGAAAAGCTGTTTGCCAGGAGGAAATGGCCTTCTCAATGTAACAGCTGTTTTCCGGCTGCGAGCAAAACAATTGACTTATTCTGGAGGCTATTTTGTTGTTTAGTAGGCTGACAAGGACAGTGCAGCCAGTCAGTGGGGAGCGGGGCTGCCTGAAGGGGCTCGGGGGGGTCGAGGCGTCCGCCTGCTCGGAAATAGGCTGAGCCGTCCTTCCTGACCCAAACAATGTTAACAGAGAAGATGTGACTAGATAGACAATGCATGTGGGTTTGTTACATCCACGTCTGCCTGGTGGGGAATATTGAGTCCTGGTGTACATATTAGCTTTAAAAAAAAAAAAAGGTTACAGCAAGCTCAACTGCATCAATGTGATTAACCTTATGTGCTGCACCAGCTCCAGCTCTGATCCCTTATTACCTCCCCTTCCAGTGTTTCATTTTGTCTGTCTCCGTGTTTGTTCTTTGTGAAAATCAATCCGAGAGCCACTTTGTCCTCCCAACTGGCTCGTCGCATAGGGGCAGCTTACAGTAAGTCCTCGTGCAGTGATGAATGTGGCTCTGCTGAAGGTCTGTGTTCAGTAAAGTGGGATACAAAGCAGGGGGGAAGCCTTTAATACTAACGCCACAATATGTATAACCCAAAACTGTCACTTTTCAAGAAGAATGAATGTGGGGGGATGAGTTGCGGGAGGGTCTGGGATGCTCCGGAGCTGGCTAAGGGGTTGCTGGGCCGCTGTGGGCCGGGGCTGTTGTCTCCCTGGAGACAGAGAGACAGTGAGCGATGGGCGAGAGAATAAAGAGCTGCGGACTAGCAGGTGCAGAGTGAACCAGGCTGAGGGTTTCCAGAGGCTGTACAATGTGTGGAGCACAGCACTTTTCATACTGAGGTGGAAGGGGGAGTTGTTATTCTTCTATCTTGTAGTTTTGATTAGTGTGGGTACTTTAGGACAGTCCTGACGGTTACACCTTTCTAAGTTAAATGAGATTTCAAAATGAGTCCTTCGTGCTCTTGTTACCTGAGCCTCATGCACCATTATGTGTGCTTATAGGACCATACTGGTGTTTGATCACACTTTCCATTACTGCTGACCTTTAACCAAGGCCTGGTGTTACCTTAAATGAAGCATCAGGGGACAAAGCAAACACTAGACAGTAAGCCATGAGTGGACGGAGTGATTGGGTATGACATGCAGTAAAGGTCATCGGCCGGATAGGAATAAGAGATATTGCACTTCATGTTTGTAGGTTATAAGGGCACTCCTACCTGCAATTGTCTCTGCATTCAGCACAAATAAACAGTAATGAAAGTGATTTTCAAGCCTTTGATAGAGGCTAATCTTCTCCCTTTTCCTTGTGACCCTTTTTGTATACCCAAATCATATCCACTCAGCAGTAATAACAGAGCATGATGTTCTCTTCTTAGTTTTATGATAATAAAGCCTCAAGATGTAAAATTCCAGATTTTCATAAGAAATGTATTTATTTTTTCTACATTTTGTGACCCTGCAGATTTATATTGGAACCCATAAGGCGTCCCAACTCACAGGTGGAAACAACAGCTTTAAGCTACCTTAAAATATTAACTTGGAGATAGATTTCTTCCTCTGGAAAGTGGGAAATGGAAATGAATACCAATACCACTGCGGCAATATTGAAAATCAAAACGTCTTTTGAATATGGTCAACAGTGATTTTAATGACAGTAAAAAGGTAGCAAAAACACTACATTTTGCTGAAAAATAGCAGTCGTCCTTGCTTCCTTTCTATTGTGTCCCCTTGTAGGTACAGAGGAGTGTCCATTCAGAACCTGAAAGGTCATTGTTGAATCGTAATGCATCATTCAGCGCCCCCCTTTTTGTCATTGCTCGCTTGCTTTATAGGTTAAAAACTCTGTTATTGCTTTGAGGTTGACCATAAAAGACCTTTGTTTAACTAAGTCACAGATCTCTGGCTGCTGCTAAGTTGTGCTGAATAAATCATCGCATGCTTCCATGGAGATGTTTGTCTGGGAGCTGGGTCAGGATTGAAGGCTGTGGCACACAAGCGCGCAGACAGCCGGGCTTTGAGTCGCGGTCCGTGCAGATTCCCGCTGTGGGCAGATAAGCCATGAAAAGAAATATTCCAGTGATTGCACATCGCTGCAACCATCACCTCGCTCCAAGAGCCGGAACAGACACCTAGGAACACGGACAAGAGGATGTGGCCTCGGTACAAAAAAATTGATTTGAAACACAGTTCAGTCAGGATAGTGTCTCTTTAAGTCACTGTCAAAGCATATTTGAAAAGACGGCAGTGATGAGTTTCACCCTTTGCCCCTCTTCAGTCCTGAGAGACAGGGAACAACACGGCTCTGTCTGTCTAACTGCATCTTTTACTTCATGTCGCCCAGATTATGTTACGAAAAAAAGGACTTTGACGGATTTAAGGGATGGAGATCCTTGTTTTTGGAGAGAATTGGGCTTTGGGGCTTTAGAAATATAACATATTGATGATCCCTTAATGTTTTCTGACAGACAGTATCACAACATACGTGTAATCTTCAACCAACATCCTGTGCTCTGCCACTTCAACCCTTCACCGCCCTTTCCAAGAGAATGGGCTCTATTTTTATTTTCACTCCATCTGTTGTCTCTTGAATCACAGGAGATCATCTCGCTCCATGAAAAAATAATTCACTTAGGTGTGTTTTTCTCGCTTCCTTCATCTCCGGGCTTTTAATTTAAATTGGGTCTTTCTACTGCAGTTAAAAAATTGCACACACTCTCCTTTAATCTAAAAGATTAATTTGAGGAGGCTTCGCCAGCTTTGCGCTTTCGGCATGGATTTCCTATTGTTCAATCCATCTGTAAAAGTTACACATGCAAAATGACTTGTAACATGACCCCAATTAGACTACAGCAGGAAAATCTGGCAAGGAGCCATATCTGCTTTGAAACAGCCAGCTCCGTGTTCGCTGTGCTGTGAAGAACTCCTGACTCCTAACCTACTATCCAAACTGACAGGGCTTTCATAAGTATGTCCAGCCCAAGAACTGAGTGGAGGCTGGGGGGGCTGGGATTACGTTTCCAGGCATTTGATAAGCGGGATGCCATTTTCCTTCTGACTCAGGGACGTCTCTCTTGTCCTCCAGAGAGTCTTTCATCTGTGCAGCCAGGACCTGCAGTTTGTGGCGAGCTGATAGAATACAGGTACAGAAGATGAGCCACATCATTTCTCTTTATCTCACCTGCCTTCTTACCAAACCAAGCTCCGCCGCTATATCCATCGAACTCCCTACAACATGACTACATGTTGAGCCAATTCAATCAAGTGAGGCCACCGAAGATACAGTACATGCCACAGCGGAATCCTTTTCATCTTGTTTTCTAGTCATTTCCTCAGTAGCGGTAGTACGTTTAAAAAAAAAAGAAAGGGAATTTGATCAAACCGGCTGTCAGCAGAAATACTATTTCCTCTTGTCAAGGCGTCCATGTGAATTGTATTAGTTCTAGTGCTCTGATCTCCACTGAGCTCCTCTCGCTGTGTACTGGTATTAGCTCCCGTGTGATTGTCGGTCTCAGGTTCATGGCATACGTTCTCATGGAGTTTCATTACAACTCGGATAGTTTCATTGCGTTCCCCAGCTGGTGCCCACCGAGACACGAGCATGATTCATCTTGACCTCCGTGCATGATTCATCTTGACCTCCGTGCATATATGTGAGAAGCTGTCAGAGACAAACCCGGCCCCTGCTGCATTTCAAAGCCCCTGCACGGCCTCTGTATTCACTCCACTGGCTGAGATTATGCAGTAGATCTACATTTCCTGACAACAGCGATGTGAGCTAATTGTGCCCTGTGTTATGTTCTGACCTTCTGAAGACGCTAACCGCGATATTATCAGACCTCGGATTGCATCTGCGAGAGCTGCCGGCTGTGGGTTAAATCATGGAGTCATTATAAGGAGAGGAAGAAGCACTTCTGATGGTATTAGCCAAAAAAGAGAGTCCTTGGCAAGGGATTAACGGATAAGAAAGACACTTTGTTGAAGCAGGAGCGCAAGACTTTCTACTGCACT